TACCAATTCCCAGGTTACACCCTGTACAATCTACCTAAATACCGGCAAGTTGCAAGTGGAATTCTAACTGGAGTAAAAGAAAGCCTCACCTCACACTACGACCTAATCAAGAGTATCGGCTCGACACAAGACATATGGGAAATAATCAGATTAAATGTTTGGAAATATCAAAACCACTTCAAGGTATATGCAGTCTATAATCCACCCCAGAATTGTCCCAACTTTGACTTTCTGAACACCTCACACAAAACTGTAGTATAAGGAGACTTCAACGCCCATTCCACCAGATGGGGCTACAAGGATACAAATATAGCTGGAAAGGAAATTGAAGACATGCTAAACAGCAACCCTCTGGAACTTATTTACAGCAATGAGGATCCGGCTACATATTTGCACTACAATGGAACCTGAACAACTCCTGANAAGGCCTTGATCCTGTATGAGAAGCTACTGTGAATTCCCATGGATAAGTTCTTCAGCACCTATGAGAATAGTCCAAGACATCTGAAAACGCAATCTGGTCTAATACAGAAAGCCATAGAACTGAAGAAAGCGTTAAAAATCGATGATAAACCAAAAAGCCTCTCTCCCCATGAACCCATTAGCAGACATTGATGTAGTGTGTTGCACCCAACTGCTCGGCTTCTTCAGGAAATCAAACACCCCTCCAGAGCAAATGCGCTCACTGGCCCTTGAGACAATCAATGTCAACTATCCTGGAGATCAATGGCTCCAAGTCTTCACTGATGGGTCATATATAGAAAGCCAAGCAAACGTTGGTGCAGGTGTCTATTCTGAACTCTTCTCTTTCTACGCAGCAGCGGGACATAATAGATCCGCTTTTGAAGGAGAAATAGAGGCTATTAGGATAGCACTATGCCAATTATGTTGCCTGGATAAGAAATTCACCAAAGCGGTGATACTTTCGGACTCACATTCAGAAATAGACTCTATTGGAAACAGAGAGATACCCAAAACAGCTGAAATAAAGGAATGTAGAAAACTCTATGAGCTGCTGAGAGAGAAAAACAAAACAGTGGTCCTACACTGGATTCCTGGTCACTGTGGCATTAAAGGCAATGGGCGTGCTGACACACTTGCTAAGAAGGGGACAACGATTTTGCAA